AAGTATAAAAGGGGTCAATCAAAGTGAATGTGGTGTAACCTAAACAAAAAAAAAGAGATGTGAAAATTCGCAGGCCAAAAGTGATAATATGTTCTAGTAGCCGAGGAAAAAGCGAGAATAGTAAATTTGGTGGGGCAACGGTATCAACGATTTCAGTTCCTAACTGTTTGTGTAAATGAATGACACTCAAAACAGTCGATATCTAAAAAGAAAGAAATAAAGGGCATAAACAGGGAATGGAGAGAGGGGCGCATGAACACGTAGAAGCGTCCGTTATATTGCTGAAGAAATACAGGATAATGGAGAAATTAATCAATGTGCATTCGCACTTAATTTTACTAAAATGTATATAGGCATAATATATGAGAGCTCGGCACATCGTTTTGGCTTTGAAAACATGCGAGACGCACATGAAACACGGACACCCCAAATGCCATGTTTTACAAACACGAGACCAAATGCTTCTCGGCCATATACAGAGAGGTTCACCTCGTCACACCACTGCAACTTAGTGTTTAGAAACGAAAACAATAAACATAACAAATAAAATAGCATCATGGATTAGCAAGAAATTAGCTTTACGCATTTCGCCTGCATTCGGATTGCAACGTAACCTGAATGCCAAGTGTGGGGGGAAGGGACGTCCCTCTTGGTTCCGGTAAACATATTGAATATAAATACTATTATGTGGGGCTTTAAGTCCCAAAATGACGATTACACAGTAAGGACACCATAGTAAAGGGCTGCCAAAATTTTGACCACTTGGTGTTTATGCCAATGCAAGATCCCCTATCATTTTGCCTCCACCTAAATGCGACTGTCCCGGCCGGATCGAGCCTCCGACCTTGGAATCAATAGCCGAGAAACGTAACCACTGATCCATCATGGCGGACGGTGCATCGAATATAATATGCTCGAATGAAATGATAACGTCCATTAGAATCATGCTCGGCATTTCGAATATTAGCCTAACAGCTTCGAATCTTTGATAGTGTGCTGATTGCCTCGGAAACAGTCATCACATGTACTATTGTGTCATTATTAGTTCGTTGCTTCAATTGGGATGAAACCTAATAAAACGATCAGGTGTATAAGAAGCCCTTACGCACGATGGTATGTATATATTTCATCATCATCATCATCATCCTGACAACGCCAACTGCAGGACAAAGGCCTCTTTCATGTTTCGCCAGTCAACTCGGTCATGCTTTTTTTTAATACCTGCAAACTTCCTAATCTCACCTGCCCACCCAACTTTGTCTTTCGCTCACCCGCTTGCCTTCTCTAGGAATCCAGTCAGCTACTCTTAACGGCCAGCGGTTATCTTGTCTACGCGTTACGTACCCGGCCCATGTTCATTTCTTCTTGATTTTAACTATGATATCCTTGACCCCGGTTTGTTTACTGACCCAATCTGTTATCTTATTGTCTGTTAAAGTTACGCCTACCTTTTTTCTGTCCATCGCTCGCTGCGTCATCCTCAATTTAAGCTGGACCCTCTTTGAAAGCCTCCAGGTTTCTGCTCCGTGAGTAAGTACCGGCAATAAGCAGCTGTCATGTACCTTGCACTTGAGGGAAAGTGGCAACCTACCTGTCACGATTCGAGAATACTTGCCGAATATGCTCCACCACATTCTTATTCTTCTGGTCACTTCGATTTCGTGGTTCGGCTCCGCGGTTACTACCTGTCATAAGTAGACGTGCTTTTTTTTTAAAACTTCAAGTGCACTGCTACCTATCTCGAAGCGTTGATTTGTTCCGAGGTTGTTGTACATTACTTTTGTTTTCTGCAGATTACTTTTAAGACCTACCTTTCTGCTCTCCTTATGTATTTCAGTATACATGAATTGCAATTTGTCCCCTGAGTTACTCAGCAATGCAATATCACCGGCGAAGCGCAGGTTACTAAGGGTACTCTATCGACTTTTATCTCTAACTCTTTCCATTTAGGGCTCCTGAAAACCTCCTGTATAAGCACGCCGTAAATAGCATTTCTCCATCAGTGAACGTTAACACGACGAACGTGCGTGTATTCACCTGGGCACACGAACTACCACCGTGTCACACTTCACATCCGATTCTGCACCCACGCCACATTCAGTGGCAGGGAGTAGAAGGGTCCTCGAACGCGGGTTTTCACACCCAATTGTGTCACAATTGCACATAATTACCCTCATTTAATGCACCCGAAATGCCACTTGTTTATATTCACCCTCTAGTACACTTTGTTTATCGTACTTGAATGCCCGTATTATTCACTCGCGGCTGCCTGGCCTCTCGTGAACTGTCACGACTGTTTACCTCGCGTAAATCGGCTGGTGCTTCAATGGTTCCTTATTCCGGCGTCCTGGTGTTTTGACTGGGCTCTCCTCTTTCCTTCCTTCCATTCTTTTACTCGGTCAGCTTCATTGCGGTCATCAAGCTTCTACGCCAGGAAGCGAGCGAGCGTGTTCATAGCCGAGTGCTTCCGTATATTACGGCATTATCTCCAGCTCTCAAATGGCCCCACCGGACCCGAACAGCTTTCGTATATAGCTGCTGACGTTTGAGAATGATGCGGAGGTGAAATGGGAAAGCCAATCCACGGCGTGTTTGGAAACAGCCAAGCAAAGTTGGTAGACTAGAAGAGAATTGGACTTTCGCTTGTCGATTTTGAAAGTTCTTTCACAAGGCTGTCTCCCACTAAGTTCTTCCACGAGGTGCTGAGTTGGGTTCACGTTGAAGAACCCCAGGTGGTCGGAATTTCCGTAGCCCTACACTACGGCGTCTCCCTTAATCATATGGTAGTTTTGGGACATTGTTAAACCCCGCATATCAATCAACCCGAACATGTCCCAACGATCGCCTGCAAAAGCATCCCAAGTGTTAGAAAGTAAGCGTTTGATCTAGTCATGCCTTTAGCGCGCATTGAATGCACGTCCGTGTTCTACGAAACTCGGGTGATTTTTCTCGCACATGGTGTCCTCATCATGTGAAGGCAGCTTTCACGGCACGTGAAGACGCCGCCGCTAATGGGAGCATTTTTGTATTGAGCGTTTAGCAACCCCAGTTTTTCTTTTCTTGTGGTCAAAGAAAATGCCTGTAGCAAACAATTAATGTTAAATTAGCAGTAAGCGACCGTCTTCGGCGTCTCTGTCTTTCATGTCAACTACTGGCTGAACACCACATACCAGCACTCGTCCTCGGAAAAAATGCCTGAAAGGGACACTAAAGTCAACTATTAAGTCGATGTTGATTGTTGAAACGGCAGTCCAGAAACCTCGTAGTGTTACTTTTGTGCCAAGGAAGGACATGTTTTGAAATAAAATCACAATTTAGTGGTTCGCGTCGGGTTAGCGCACTTCAAATTACCCGCCTCAAGAAGCGGACCGACCAGTCCGTCTCACGTCACTGTTGCCGTGCACAACGTTGCCCGGTTTTACTGCGCTAGTAGCAGCAGACCGAAAGCGGCGGGAGCCATATCAGCGAAAACGGTCATTGATCAATTTCCCTCTATAATAGACTCCGAGACTGCAGATGTTTTTGTTTCAATTGCGCCCCGCTAGATGGCACCACCTGTGCCGTGTAACCCCACGAAAATTGAATTTTCGAACCACTCGTGCAATTCCCCATAGTAACGTCCGGCGGTTCTTTTTTCCATTAATCAAGCAGAAGCGAACAAGCAACATTTTATTACGTCTCTTAATGCACGGAAAGGTCTTTATTCAGTGCAGTTATATCAATTACTCGTGGTTAATTGTAGGCGGTCCGTCTGATGTCATCGGGATCATTTTGAAATGTCCTACTGCGGCGCTTGTGTTCTCGTGCAGTTACTATAATTTCTTGCTAAGTACGGCACTGTTGTTAATAATATTGTCGTTTTAGGTGTTGTTATACACTGAGCTTTCACTCTGAGGCCGATTGTTATTTGACTTTAGTGTCCCTTTAACTTGTGAGTTGCGTCGACGAATATTGGTTACTACAGCTTCTTGCTTCTCCACGAGATGGCGTGGAGCAACACTCAAAGGCGGGCCTGTTGACGCTCAGGTGCAGTACACGTTTCAGATGTTGTGCCCGGTAAACTAATACAGTAGGAGGCAGCCTTAGAGTAGCATGTGGCGGACGTGCAGCCTTGCGTACACTAAATTGTTTAGCAAACTAAAGTAAAGTAATGCCCTACGGGCCCTGAGGGTATTCTAATAAATAAATAAATAAACGGCATTTATGCTAGGCGAAGGGCGCATGCGCCGTAAAACAACCAGATTGCACCAGTGGCAAACTAGTGGGAGGCACACCGGGAGGCACACAATCAAAAGTACCCGTATAACACTGGTATCAAATTGAACTGGAGTACAGTCGCAGTTACAACTAACTATCACGAGAAAAAATAATGCAGCATGATGCACTGCACTTTTTATAACCATAGCGGGCCAAACAAGCAGTATAGTAGAATTCCATCATTTGGTGTCCAGTATTTACGAAAAGTTTATAATTGACATGTCAAGCCATCCAGGAATGTCCATCAACATTAATGCAGTTCACATTGAGGCAAAACTGTAGAGCTACCGTTGAAGTTCATCAGTTATACAGCCCATACTACAACTATGCTCTTCCTGTGAACTTTGCACAGGACACTGACTGTCCAGCAAAGCTGTTTCAGAGTTGGCAAATGCCTAAATGTGCATTCAGGCAAAAATATATAGCTCTTTGAACTCCAACCAGCACTGCATACGTAAGATGTGTAACAGCAACACATACCGCTGAACTACTATATTGAAGTGCACAACATTGCAAGTACACACCCAGAAACAAAAGTTTGTGGAACGAGGGCTCCACCGTAAGCACAAATTTCTGCTGTTGGTGCACGATGCTTCTAATCTAGTAGGTAACTCTACAGGTTGCTAGACAAAGCGGTGATATAGATTGATTTCTTGCAAATTCCACACTCAGGAAACTTTCACAGCAGGGCACTAAAGTCCACTGCAAACTGTAAACTGTGCAATACCCCCTAAGAATCCTAATCGGATTGGGATGACCTTTATTTACAAATCTCAAGGGCCCATTCGAAGCTTAGCTAGCTGAAGCAAGAGCAGCGAGGCGTTCCTCCAAGAGCCCTGGGTCCGCCTTGTGCTTCATGAGGAACTGCCCCTCAAGGTGGAAGACTGGGATGTCATGACGGTAGCATTGGTGCCAAGCCTCATTTCCTGGTTTTTCTATGTCAACTTCGACTACACGGACTCTGGGCAGTAGCTCCTTGAGCTGGTCCTTTGCGACATCACACAGGGGACATGGGTGCTTAGTGTACAGCGTGAGAACAGGAAGGCTGTCTTCACTCTCTCTGGTATGCCTGTACATAAAAGGAGAAGCCAACCTGTTTTCATGCTCAGCTTTATGTCGGTGACAACCAGCTACAGGCACGGTTTGCTGTGCAATCAGACCTTATAAACATAGATGTTAAAGGCAGCTGACAAGATTTCAAGACTGTTTTCTTTGAAGGGGTGTTGACAAGAAAATATTCCTTTGCCATTTTATTGAATTGACTGAAAAGCCAAGCCCTTGAGAGTCTACACAATCTACTGTTAAGTGTGAGTGTACCCCGAAAAAGTAAGTTCAGTATGTCCTTAAAAGATAATTTTGGTTCCTGCTGTGCCCCGATATCACAACTTGATATGCACCTCTCGTCACATGCTCGTGCAAGGTATCGATGTTTGAACAACAGTTTGAACAACAGAATCGGACGATTCTAAAGTGTAATCTGGTTGCTTCTAGGTTATCAGTGCAGAGAAATTAAACAGTAGACAGTCACAGGCACGACACAGACGTCCAAACTTCAGAGACGGGAACCTGTGTTGAAACTGAACGTTTGCACCTCTTGTAATCTGTGGGCACGTTTTTGCTGGCAAAGGACTTCCATGTTGTCTTTCTCCTTCCCTAGTATTCTGGTGTATTGAACATACTCAGGACCATTCGCTATCTGTTGCCTTTTTCATTTTTAGTAGACCAGTGGTGACTAGCTGGATCTGTGGCACAAACCTGTGCACGGTGTACATAGTTTTCTGGTTACCATGGATATTTGACAGACAGGTATAATAGCTTCGTAGCTAGAAAAAGTAAAAGAAGATAGAACATTGACTTCTTATTCGGCCCAGTTATTGTTTCCCTGGTTCCCAGTTTGCATCACATATCTTTAGTGAAGTTATGAAGCTTAAAACTTCATATGAATGACTGAGAAAAAGCACTTCCAATTTCACCCTTGGAAGGAACACTTGGCATCCTATTTCATTCTGTTTACATTCAGCCGTTTAGTACAGCAAAAATGATCACTATCGAGTGTGCCAAATCCAAGAAAAGGTTTTCATAAGAATGCATACAAAAAAAGTGAAACAAACAAATGCCATAAAACATAACATTGGTTAATGAAATCCAAGTGCTGCTATGACTAAAATAAAAATATCTCGAGATGCAGCACTTGTGGTGAATCTCAATAGTAACATTTTGAAAAATATTCTTTATCGCAAGTTCTGGTTCCGAAAGGCAGCTTACACCTTTTATGAAAAAAAAAAAAAAAAAATCTGTTCACCTTGAAACTAGTAAATAGCCCTACAATGATCAATGCTCTCATAAAATCATGTTTCATGTTGCTGCCATCATAGAATTATGTTTCAAATCTAGGTGGCACACTGCCATGTCCCAAAATATTTTGAGAGATCATATTAGTAATTTTCATTTCAAATATGCATTGTAATAACATTCCCCCCCCCCCCCAAAAAAAATAAAAGGAGACCCGGCCTCAAATGGCCTCCCAACTTATTCTCGTAGGGCTCGATAATGGAGTTGAATGCTGAACGGAGGTAGATGGAGTTTGGTGGTTGCCGTGTGACAAGGGTATCAATTGTTTAGGTTCGGTGGTACATCAGTAAATCGATGCGTATGCAGCCATGTGAATATATAAGCCATCATCATCAGCCTGACAACACCCATGATTGATTGATTTGTGGGGTTTAACGTCCCAAAACCACCATATGATTATGAGAGACGCCGTAGTGGAGGGCTCCGGAAATTTCGACCACCTGGGGTTCTTTAATGTGCACCCAAATCTGAGCACACGGGCCTACAACATCTACGCCTCCATCGGAAATGCAGCCACCACAGCCGGGATTCGATCCCGCGATGTGCAAGTCAGCAGCCGAGTACCTTAGCCACTAGACCACCGCAACGGGGTCTGACTATGCCCACTGCAGGGCAAAGGCCCCCCCCATGATCCACCAACCAACCCGGTCTTGCGCTTTTTGCTGTCAGGTTATACCTGTAAACTTTTAAATCTCAACGGCCCACCTGTTTGTGCGTTTGCCTTCTTTGGGAGTCCAGTGATGACCAGCGCTTATCCTGTTTACGTGCTACGTTCCCGGCCCATGTCCATTTCTCCTTTATTTTAACTGCGATATCCTTAAGCTCGATTTGTTCCCTGCCTCACTCTGCTCTCTTGTTGTCCCTTAAGGTTACACCTATTATTTTCCTTTCCATCGCTCACTGCATTGCCCTTAATTTAGGCTAAACCCTCTTTGTAAGCCTCCATATTTCTGCTCTATCGGTTCGACAAGATGATAATAATGATTTGCTGCTGTTCCTTTTTTAACAGCTGGGTGTATTTATAGTATGTAAACACACCCTAGCACACAGATATAAAAAAGAAAATTAAAAAATCGAAAAAAAAGGGAACCTGTATAAAAGAACAAGGGATGTGCCCAGCAAGAGGGAAGAAAACTGAACAAACAGAAAAGGGAGGGAGACATTAGAAGAAAGCAGAAGCTGAAGGGTGCGCTCAGTTTGCGTTTGCTAACACAACCGCCCTACACTGCCTCTATCTAGTCATTACACTGTGCCACCGTATGTTCTCGACCGCTGTGCCACAACCACTGTCCTCCAGCGTTCAAGGCGCCGCATCAACACTCGTGCTGCCTGTAGTTCAGTCTGTCCATTTTCCCCCACAATGCCCAGTGCGGTATGCAATGACTCCGTGTGTGGGAGTCCTATCTGTCCGCACTCAATCACAAGATGATTCTTCTAAATGCAGCTATTATATAGCTCCCTCTTGAGGACTAGTGGCAGATTACCATTCATGATTTGAGAATGCTTGCCAAATGTGATCCACCCCCTTTTTATTCTAGTTATTTCACTCACGTGGTTCGGCTCAGCGGCTACTATCCGTCCTGAGTAGACGTATTCCTTCAGAGCTTCCAGCATCTTTGCAGACCTACTCTTCTGCTTATTGTGTCTAATCTGAACTGTAATTCGTCCCCTCAGTTACTCATCAAGGCAATGTCATCGAAACAAAGGTTAGCAAGATACTCTAGGATTGCTTCACTAAATCGTCGATTTGCCATGTAAACAAGTGAGTACACCACTTTATGCCATATCCTTAATGAATAGGGGCTAGACTTACTGCCACTTACTGTGAGTCATGCGAAATGTATAAATAACGTGCCGCTTCCTGTGAACCATGCGAAAAGTTAATTTTTCCTCGCTCAGGTTAGACATGCCCGTAACGATCTTGCACTAGATCTATGGCAAAACATGTCATTCTATTATTTTGCCCGAATAATGCAAAATACCAAGCATGAATGCCTTCAAAATATTATTGAATAAGAATCGAAATAGGATTGCTGAAACATGCAATTAGTTTTGTTGCATTAAAGTACAGAGTACCTTGAAATAATGTAGCGTTCCGACTCGCTTACAGGCAGTTCTCCATAGTTGAAGTTTAAAAGGGCTAAACAAGCCTTCAGGAACTACGAAATGAACAGTAGCAAAGCTGGAATGCACAGACTTCTAAAATATGCCCGCATCTAGCACAAACACCTTTCTCTTGTGCTTTCAAGAAGCAGCAAACATTGTAACAGCTAGCAACCCTCAGCTCGGTGACAAACGGCATGTTCTTATGGTCTTGCTAGTTTCCAATACATAACACTTACTGTGCGACTAGGTTGCGTGTTTTTCATGTGCATTGATTTCCTTACAGGGATGCTCACCAGGGCCCCCCATTTGGAACATTTACACTGGGCACTTATATTATTGTCTGCCAATAGTTGCAGTGGTACATGCCATAGAAAGAGCTGAAATTTAAAGCCCCTGGTTGACGCAGCTTCATTATGTATCTCTACTCGTAATGAAACAATTTCAATTTTCTCAATAGAAAGCTTTATGTAGGCTACATAGCAACTACCAGTGCAAAGCCAAAATTTGCTATGTGGCCTGGAAAGGGGTTAGAAAGTTTCAATTAACACACTTCTATTAAATATGAATAACCTCCCAAACGATTTCCTAGGGTTCATGAGAAACGATCCTTTCAATCTATTAGTGTTGTTCAAAATAAATGTCACACGAGACCCAAGTTGCCGAGAAAGTGCTATGCATTTATTTGTTCCAATAAAATCTTTACAAAACAATATATTAGCGTTCCTATAATTCCGAAGCCTTAATTGTACAGAACACAGCTACGATGATAGGTATACCGATCATCGCTGTTATGAAAAGGTATGGTCCAGATCTCTGGCGACAAGAGGGTCCCGCAGTGGATTCTCTTCGAATTACGGGAGTAGTTCTGCCATCATGCAGAGGCAGACTTACAGCTTCTGAATGAGTATGGCAGAAGCACCTCCACCACCATTGCAGATGCCAGCCAGCCCGTACTGCCCAGGCTGCAGATGCAGCGCCATGCGCCCAGTTATCCGAGCACCAGACATCCTAAAAAAAAAAGTTGCAAGAACAATCTTTTAGCTTGTACAGCAGCTCCCTACTCAGATTTCACAGTACAACAAATGATCTCAAAATAAACCAAATGTTGGCTCACTAAATCATGGAATTTTTTTTGTTTGTAATAAACACTGTGCTTTAGCTACATAGCTATACCAACTAGCTAAAGTTACTAGGATTTTTTTAGCAGCTACATAAATCCTTCAATCACCCTTGATTGCACAGAAGTGGTACAGAAATTCTCGTCACCTTTGAATTTTCTTCATGATGCAGCTACAATGCTAAACTGTCGTTATCCCTCATTTGCTTTTGACTACCAAGCAAAAATCTCAAAGCTAGCGAGCTGACCTGAGGCAAGATCACTAGTATGATTACGCAGCACATACACAGCACCGAAGCAAGCGTACTATGTACTCTATCTGTTGCAGATGAAACTGGCTTCAGCTGCGAGGTCCTCGATGACGTGAGCGCAGGTGGCACTGGTTCACTTAGGTTGTACATACTATTTTCACGTTCATGTGTCGCGCATCTGCCCTCAGTGTGTTTCAAAGATTGCCCGCATTAACACGTGTGGTCAAGTCTTCCCGATCAAAATATGCAATTTAGATGCCCCTAATAATGCTGGGTTATTCAAGTCATACAAAATTAGTGATGGGTTGGTGCATTTCTGTATCAGATGCGTGCCTGTGAACTTGCACTATTTAAAAAGGTGGCCATTGCGGCCATCGTTTAAACAATGGCCAGTGGAGATACCCACACAAGATTCTACTATGAAAGCAATCATGCACAGCTGGCTAAAGCCAGCTGCGCACACATGCATTCACGTAGCAAACTTTAGTCGCTAAACATTGAACACAAGTGCATTCAGTAATGTGGCAACACGTTCTGTACTAGGCAGTTACATAAGGCAGCAGTTAAAGTGTACTTACCCGATTGGATGTCCCAGGCTGACTGCTCCACCATGAATGTTCACCTTGGATTGGTCCAACTTGAGGTGCTTCATGTTGCACAGTACAACAGAACTGAAGGCTTCATTGACTTCAAACATGGAAACATCTTCCATTTTCATGCCAGCTTCCTTCAAAACCTATAATGAAGACGAAATGGAACTGTACAGAACCTCAGCAATGCAACAGTGGAAGTGAGACCGCCAGTGACAACACATTGCACGAGGAGGATTCACGATACACGCTAAAAATGTCACGCAAAAAGTGCTGCTCCATGAAAACACCAAGAAGCTGTCAGGTACATGAGGTATCAAAATCATCTACTGTATTTACAGGACTAAGTCAACCTCTTCTGCTGCACACACACAAGCGCATTCCAGGAATTTATTAACATTGTCACGCCAAGCAAGCATGTCCTGATTGTTTCCGAAGCAATGACACAGGCTGCTTGCATGACTATTTTGCACAAAAAGACTCTATGCACAGTGCAACGTGTGCCACAAGCTCTGGGAAGAGTACAGTGTTCAGACCTCGAAAATCTTGGCACTTGGCATCCCTAAAAGCAGTTTACATTAAACTCATGGGCTGACTTGGGAAAGCGTATGCAGGAATAGTCAAAAGTGACGGAATGGAGGACACTACTGCCATCTTGCTTCCTTGCCACTGATGCAGCCACAAGTAATAGAAGAAAACGCATCCACAAAATTGCCACAGAGCTGCCGTTGGCCATCAAGAGTGCCACTGTTGATCGGAAGAGCCATTCCTGGAGTAATGGTTGATGCCAGAAGTGGCATGCACGGCTTTTAACAAAGCTGTCGACCGTCGAAAAAAGAGCTTCGTGGCAAACAGTGTGGCTCAGGAGAGAGAGAAGAGGGAAAGAAAAAAAAAAACTCCTTACACTCCTTACACAGACAAGTGCACTAATTGTACGCCACAGGTAGAAATCGAAAGCAAATCGACACTGATTCATAATTTGTTTGGCTGTTACTGGCACTACAAGCCATCATGTGCAAAGCCCAATCACTATGGTATAGACTGCCTGGTATGACTTGTGGTCCCACCAACATGGCTCACAGACATGTCTGCTGACACAACTGTAAGAGTCAATTCCACAACTTTAAATTTTACAATGAACTATTTAGTTTAGTCCAGTTTTATATACACATAATTGCAGAATTGAACCATGGGTGCACTTGGGCTATATAGGATTAGTACAATAAAAAAAATTACGGCATATTCACGGGGTGAATGATGATGAATGGGCGAAGCTCCGGAGGGATTCATCGGTAAACTGTGAATCTTCCGTGTAATTCGCCCAGTGGATCATCATGTAAAGACGCGAGAAACGCTGTGTGTGTATATACACAAATCAACTTTTATTTGTTCTTAGACGATGAATGGCTTGCGATGTCCCTTGCCTCGCGCGCTCGCACATCGGGATTCTGTCTGCGAGCGCGCGCTGCTGCCGCCTTGCGCTCTCTCCGCTGTGCAGCCTTATCCATCCGGCGACTCCGAGAGCGCGCCAACAGCGAACGGATTTTATTACAACGCTCCCCCTAGCGTACGTCGCCGCACTAAATCGAACGATTGCCTTCAACCAATGACACGCGCCATATGTGACATTCCTATTTTATAAGATCTCGCGTCTTTCATCAACTACAAGTACCGCTTTCTAGTTTATAACATCTTGCATCTTTTCATCATCAGCTACAACTACCACCATCTAGTAAACACTACAAGAACTAAACGAGAGGTGGCTACATACAGGAGACGGTACCGCCATCTAGTGAACACTGCAAGAACTAAACTAGAGGTGGCTACATACAGGGGAGGGTACCGCCATCTAGTGAACACTGCAAGAAGTAAACTAGAGGTGGCCACATACAGGCTACAGGGGACGCACAGCCCACGCCCTAAGGAGCTTCGCCCCTAAAAATCCAGTCCCTTGTAGCAGAAGAATATTGAACTGCCCTCTGCAAATACTCAGAATGATAGAAATGGGAGAAAAACTGCACACTATGTTTCGATTCTCAGCTTAACAATACACCAGCAATCTTTCTTCCCCCTGTCTGCACCTAGGCATGCCGAACTCCAGCATGGTGCATAAAACAGAATTGCTGGCAGCTAGACTTACAATGGCTACAAACTTTTATATAAAGAAGTTTAAAGTGCTGAACAAAGCTGCAAACAGTATGCCTATCCAGAATAAGGTAGCAAAAAGATTCTAGAATGATTTATGCTTCTGTCTAGAACCCAAAGTTTCGTACCTTTGGCATTGCATATGCAGGTGCAATAGAAAAGTGCACAGGCTCCACAGCTGCGTCCCCAAAGCCTATAAGAGGAAGAAAAGTAAAAAAAAAGTTTAGAAGAGAACATGTGCTACAAATAGGCCTTAGAAACATGACAGGCATTGTGCCAGCACCTTAGAACCCTTCCAGATAGAAAACAGTCTGGAACGGTGTTTCATTCTGGCGAACGTTTTCTCTAGCAACGGCCCCCAGAAACCACAGACATGAATTTGTCAATGGCAGGCTGGATGAACACATTGCAGATAACAAAATGATTGAGCGGTGGTCAATTTTGGTCTCCCCAATCCAAAGGTAGACAATGAGAAACGGTGTAGAAGGAACTTGCTCCTGACTTATCTTTAATTTCCAGACATTTCTTAGCGTGCACGAAATTAACGATGGATTAGTATCAAATGAGGAAACCTTAAAATCACTGTGGAATTTCGTGCAACATTATGAAATCTCTTTTCATGTGCTGCTGCACACCAACAAATTAACAAGACCTTTTTCTGGTGCATGGTATCGATGAATAGTAAAGCTGCATGACCCAAAAGGGAAGGATAATAAAGATTTGAAAAACTGCAATATGGGTTATGAGGGGCATTGCAAGGTGGAGTGCTACAGATTGAACTTGTTGCAGTTTGATAGACTTTTTATACACATGACAACATGAGTCTTGAGTAACTTTAATCAATAAAGGCCGAGATCAAAACCCAGGACCTGAATGTAACACTTTCGATCGGTACTGATGAGTTTCCCCTACAGCAGCAGTATCCCTAAACATCCTAGAACACTCAAACCTTGATATAAAGAAACCGGTTATGAAGTATAGCTTATAACAAAGTAAATGAAGAATAGCCTTGGACTGAATGTGTTAGGAACAAATTTCTCAATATAAAAGCTTATTCTAGTGTACGATGCAACCTCATTATAGGTTTAGGGGTACTGCTATGCACTACGGCGACATGGACAAGGTGCATTAAACATCCAGTACAGTCTGTACTGTACGGATGTGTGATAGCAAGCGACTTACCAACGATTCGTGCAAGGGGCTTCACACCAAGACGATCAGCTGCCTGGCGAGTCATCAAGACACAAGCTGCAGCACCATCGTTCAGCGTGCTCGCATTTGCGGCAGTGATAGTGCCTAGAAAACGAAACAGTTCTCGTTAGCACTTATGCCAAAATCCTACAACCGAACTAAGTGCTCTATCCCTTTATCACCATGCCCCCAAAAAGGTTATCTTTCTGGGAGTGGCAGTATCTAGCCGTGCAGTACTCGCACCAACATGACACAAGCCAGTTCCAGGCACACGGCTAATTTCCCGAGCGATTACTAACAATAATCACCACATAAAAATTCAAGACGACACTGACTTTATTACCAATAGGTGTGACCCGTGCAGAGTAATGCCCCTCATTCGAAAACATTACAATAAACTTTTTATACATTAACGTGAAACCTTTGTTAAATGTCAATTCTTTTGAAATATTTAGCAAACAGGAGTACACCTCGATACCGTTAAACAGAACTCCAAGGAACAGGAAGGATCGGTACAGACCACAAGAGTACCGGTGAGTGTAAAATACATGCACTGCTTGTTAAAGATGGCTTCCTGGATAAAATACAGGCGTCCCTAGGGCATAATTGAAATTGTCCCTCTTTTGGGAAAAACACTTGGGGGCCTGCATCTCAGATTTCGGTCACTTTTCATTTCCCCCAGATTTACTTCCCATTAACAAAAGCCGATTATTATTTGCAATTATCCATATGCAAAGTTAAAGTAAAATACAGTTCGGAGTCTTTTGAGTCACTATTTCATTTAAGGGGGGAGGTGGCATTGAAAAAAAACTTTATTTGTTGACCTACAGCAATGAAATTTGGCATGCATACTCGCAAGTGTCTAGAATAGGATAGGGAAATATGCAGTTTCATCATGATAGCTTCAGTAGTTCTCAAGTTACATAATGCTACACGATCCAATTACATGGTCTGCTCGTGGAAAGCCTAGCGCTGCAACAAAACATGCCAGGAAGCTGCGAATGGTGTTGATCTTTACTCAAAAGAAAGCTACAGGGTATGGCACTCTCAGAATTTTTTAATAAGCTCTCTTTTTTTTTTAGAGATCATCATGGCTGCCGACACACATTGTGAGAAACAATGGCACAAACAAATCATCTTCTAGAAAAATAACAGGGCCACAAAACAGAAATTGATGATTGCTGTACCCACAAGCAGTGTTCAGGGATTCAGGAAAAAAAAAAAAAAAAAAAAAAAAACAGAATCGAAATCGGTCCAGTCATTCTCGTGCTACTCTTTCCACGAGCAATGCACAATGTCCAAAACACACTTGTGAGAAAAAGCCTGTCGAAGTTTTTGACAGGCTTTTTTCAATGAACTTTTTTTTTTCTTGTTGGATATTGCTGAAAATTGGCACAGACACTAAGAATAACCTCACAGTGCTTCCATAAAAATTTTGAAGCGATACCACAAATACTTTACGGGAAACAAATTATTTCTTCATTGAACCATGTGGAGCGGCTGAGCATAATGTCAAAAAAAAAAAAAAACAAAAAAAAAAAACAAAACAGTATTGAGAAAGCTGCGTTTAAAGTTTCAACTTTTCTTTACGTCTCTAAGACACCTAAAAATTGTGATCTCAGGTTTGTCTTGTGATATTTGACTTCTTTTCATGATTTACAAAGGACAAGTACGGATTTCAAACCAAGTTCTTTGTATGAAGGAGTGGTGTGATAGATATGACAGAAAAGATTGTAATTGAATAAAACCATATACTGAAATTTTAACACATACTTTTTTGTGCTGAAGTTGTAATTAGCATAATTAAGTACTTGGTTACAAATATTCACTGAACTTTTTTTTTATTTGGAGAGAGGTTTATTGCATCAAAAAAATGAATCACACCATGACGGCTTACGCCTTCTTTCTAAATAACAAAGTTATGGGCAGAAGACTGGTGGCACGGGAATTTCTAGCAGTATAATTAATGACACGAAACGGGCATATAAAAATTCGTGCCCCTGATTCACACATGCTCTTTCGCCGCTCTAGCCGTGAAACGCATCATCATACAGCCGGTCGCGGAAACTCTAATCTACAGCAATTCATTAACCTCTGAAGATTCATAGACGTTCGTGGCGATATCAAGCACGGCTCCAAGCACGTCTGAATTGCATCACAAAAGCTTACTGACAGCACTCCATATGACCGTGGGGTGCGCGGCCGCGTGGACAGTGCAGCCGGCGCGTAATGCACTTGCCGGCGGCGTTCGATGACGATGCGCGAAATGTGTAACTACGAAGACAAAAAATCGGCACGCACTGCACTTGGCATCGCATTTTCGAATGACGACATGCGAAACTGCTAGCCGCTGTTCGGAGCGATCCTTGGCAGTGAAGGGGGGGGGGGGGGGGTGACGAGCTTGACTGTTGTCCGCTGCCGATGCGTAAAATACCCGTACGAGATTCAGAGGAGCTAGCGAGTAATGTGGTACATTCCTTGCGAAGAAGCACATTGCCAAGAGTGGGCTTGCGCGTCGTTCCTGCCCGCAGTCTCGCTGTCAGCGGAGTTAGGCCTAAAGCTGACTCCGTTAACGTGCCGCACTCGTAGACCGCCGCTCGCCGCTCGTAGTAATCAGATCGTGCCGCCGCTTACAGCTTTGTTGCTTGCGAAGAAGCACGTCACCACGAATGCGCTAGCGCGTCGTTCCTGCCTGCAGTCTCGCTGTCGGCGGAGTTACGGCTAAAGACGGCTCCGATGATGCGCGACGCTCGTAGTAACCTGATCGCGCATCCGCTTACTGCTCGTAACTAAAGCGTAGTTATATCTTAAGTGATTATCCAGCCGTGAACACGTCACGAAGTGGCGATTTTCGAGAGCCACGTCCTCGCGATGCACAAGCAGCAGACGACGATCTCCCGGAGCGAGCATTGGCCAATGGCGAGGCGAGCTGAGGCAACATGGCGGCCGTGGCCAATCAAGGGCCTCAAAACAACCTTCAATTATTTGCTTTTTGCTCGCTTGTTGTTAAAGGGAGGAGCCAGCTGAGGCGGGAAAGTTAAACACGGAGAAATGCTATTTCCAATGAGCCCAAGAATCCGGCTCCCGGCCCAAGCATCGCGAAGCTATAATTTTTTTGAAAATCGCCGTTTTCTCGCCATTTCCAGAAAATGGTTTTGCTACCTAGGTGGGTGAAACGAATTTTCCAAAGCACTTCTGCGCGGTTTTCAGTGTAGATATTTTGCAACCAGATAGAAAAAGGGTTCCAGAAACAGAAAACTTGAGTTTCAAAAAAAAAAAAAAAAAAACGATTTTTTTTTTTGCCATTTTTCGCGATCCCAAAGCCGCGTCCCCCCTTAAGGGGGGAGGCTACCCCGGAAACCGAACTTTATTTTTTAAGATATCTCAATGAAACTTTCAAGGTATGTTCACTACAATAAAACTAGAAAAACTGCTAAGTTTCATGAAATTATGTTCAGGGGTTTCAGAATTACTGAGGTCTAACTGGGTGAGGAAGTGCCGGAAGAAATCCCAGGACATACGAGAAAGCTTGACATTTGTGGTCATCCCTGGATTGATATTCTAGGGTGCTAAAGAGCAGTTTTTTTCAATCCCCCCCCCCCCCCCCAAAAAAAAACATTTTATGGAACTTAGATTTGATGTAGCCAGTAGGTATGACATTTATCAATTAATTGTTCAGTAATAATTGATGGCAGTAATTTTCAAAAGAAGAGGCTTGTTACACCATGGCAAAATCGTCCAGGAGCCGAATAAAAGAAACGGCACCCTAATCTGATAAGCAGTTCTTGAGAAATCACTTTCCTCAGCACCACAAATAGCCAAAAAATCCATTTTGAGAAAACGGGCTTTGAAAGTTCAGCACATGTGTTTTCCTCAAGAAGCTCTAGCAGAGTAGCCTGAAGTGTCCTTGTGCACTCTTTTCCTCTTTTGTCTTCTGTCCATATTTTCTAAGCGCCGTTTGGATTTTTTTTTCTTTCAGACGTAGGGCATGTCTTTCAAAAGCCGGCTCCATCAGTTCAAATTTTTTTCTGAGTTGCTGGCGTAGATTCGATTTCAGTGCGAACGGCGTCTCGCATTCACACCGATTTCTTCTTTAGTTAGGAAATGCGTCCGCAGATGAAGGGTCGACGGCCCATGCACGCTATTGGCTCCGATGCAGACGAAGTACTGTGTCTGGTGACCTTAGCAACACTCGGTGTCACGCCGGACGGCACCGATTCAGAGCACATGCTGGACCCGGCAATCTCGAACATGCTCATGCATCTGCGGCTTCAGATACACACGGTTTTGACGGATTATGGACTGGTGGCAGCCGACAGCACAGTTTCGCCGCTGCAAGCATCTACGCACTTGCAGCAGAGAAGCGGAATTGCGATTCTCATAGAAGCCGCGTAACGCAATTTCGTGCTCCGAACTAGCGCACAGTCTTCAGCTTCAGCCAGCCAGTCCTTGCTTTATAGACCCTCCTCCCCCCCTTCCTGCTTTATAGACCAGAGTGCAATTCGGAAAAATAAAGGGGGGGGGGGAAGACCTTGGAGGGCTGTGCAATATGCCCATTGTCAAATGACGAAGTGTCCTGAAAGGGCCTCTGACATCTAACTTGGAATCTTCTTTTTTAGGTTCAAAAGCAAGATTTCCCTCAGTCACAAATGGTCGAAGACTTCCCAACGGCAGGTCAGTCGATCCTGTCATTGAAAAGTCCGCTATCCTGTTACGATAACAACATCCTGTCTATAGAAGCGTCATCTTTGGTCCAGCAACATCGCCAGTCAGCTGTCTGTGCCTGCTTCATGTTGTTCTAATAATTATATAAACCATCTTCACTGAAATGTGCTGTCCTTCGACAGAAAAGCAATGCATAGAGAATAATGATAATTATAAAAGGAATTCTGTTGCGAGTTCCTGCATTTATGTTTAAAACTCGTAAGAAAGCTGGGAAAGAAACATTTTATACATGGAAGCTAATGCTTCATATTAACACACCTTTCCAACCCCCTTTTCAGTCTCAAGACGAGGAATGCACAGGAAAACGAGTACATATTACACTAGGTAGCCCATCAGCAAAATGAAATGAAGAAGCAGATACTTATTGCTGGCCAAGTCTTGCCCAATCCAAAGCTTAGCGTCATCCCAGGTTGTCGGCTGACCACGATATAAATTTGTTTTGCACAGTGACTGTAACCTCCTATTATCATGCCTCCTTGGACAATAACAGCAACTATGATATGACACGAGAAACAAGAGACCCTCTCACATGCTCCACGAACTGAGTGTTAGTAGTCCACCACACACAGACATCTGTTGAGACACTCTGCAAGACAAACCAAAGATAGCTTACTATTACTAATGGTGTTACTTGCACATCACAAGAAGAGTAGTAGGTAAATAATCCACACAAGCCCTATGTGTAAACAGCCTTCCTCATAAGACACGCCAAAGTGAGAACTTTGTTCAGCACTTCAAGGATTACTTAAGAGTACCACTTGTCTGCGTAATGCTTCAGCAAATTGGCTACAAAAGTTGTCTAGTTTCATTAAATTAACAGATAGGTTATAGCTTAACCCGTTTATCACGAACATGAAAGTGTCACAATGAATGGTTGTTATCAGTAGTTCGTTGTATATAGACCCACCCATAAAAAACGTTCACTTAGTTACCAAACTTTTGTATTTTTATTAAAAAGAACAAACAACCCCTCACTTGACTAGTCAGGCCTTCTTGAGTGTTAAACGATGCCCGCTTGCTCACGAGTGAATTCAACCACGTGCGCAATGAACTCGCGCCGTTCCACTGAAGCGCAATATCCCTAAGCTGAACCAATCATTCCTGGCTAGTTAGTTGTGTGCAGCATGTCGCTTACTTGGCTTTCGCTGTCGCGACCTAGTTCGCTTGCAGTCCAATGTATGCACCCTTTTGTGTTCTTCGCACATACTTCAGGATCTTGCTTGGGTGTGGCGAGCCACCTGTTCGTTCAACAACGAAGGATTGTGCAAGCAAAATGTGGCCTTGCACGACGCAGCGAACGCAAACATGACGCGCTTATACTGCAGTCACTCTGCCAGGCAGCCATGAGCAGCGATGAGTCAAGATGGCACGTTGATCGCCACTGGCCACCTCGCCATTGCTCTTTTTTGATGCTTATCCGCATCGCGGCAACCGCGCAGAAAACATTACTAATCAACCGGTTTTTTCAGTCACCTAAAGGTGAAAACCTTTTGCGGCACATTGTGGTGTTGGAGAGTTGAGCATCGCAGTGAACTTTTATGCGACAAAAGTTATTGCTTGTCGCACTTATGGCTTCTTGCGTTCCACAGCATTGTTTATCGCCAGCGATCATAAATGCCACCAAAAATTTTGTCGTGCTAAAGCTGACCGCAAGCATTCATCCTGCCTCCTGGTTCCCCCCCGCCCCCTCTGTTCTGCCAATGAAGTAACGCCTGGAAAGTGAGTGACCTCGCTTGCAATGTTGGAAATCTGCATGCGGTGCTCGCCACAGTCTATGATATATTCATCGCAAGTAAACTGTTGCGGGGGCATGCGCGAGCGCGCACCCATTAGCACATGCTTTAAAATGCCTGTTTTTAACTTTTCTTCCCCCCACTTTGTATGCATCATATTTTTACCGCGATATTTTTAGGCTTTGAAAAGTATTCGTTTCATGTGGACTCAGTTTCAAAGGGTAGCATAGGAAAATCCTAAGTGCACCAAAAAATGGTCGCTATAACCAACAGATCGTTAAAAGTGGGTTGGACTGTACTGGCATTTACACAACGGTGGAAGTAAATGTTGCAGTTTTTAAAATAGAACACTATGAAAGAAATTAGACTAGGCACGCTGTTGTCGTTTTATCAGCTATCATCTGGCTACTTCTAGCAGCAGTCACAATACAGTGGCCATAGCAATGTATGGCTATTTTGTTGCCTATAAGTAAGTTAATTACCGTTGCAAAACTAAATTAGACACTTGAGCGTCAGCCTCTGCTCTTCTTGACTATGTTCACCGATGCTCGCACTTATTCAGCGTTTTGCAAAGCTGCCAAACAGATCAACACCAGAAACTGTGGTTCTGTTCTATTGCAAAGTGGCTTGTGTTCATTTGCTAGTGACGTGACCATGATTTCCAAATAATGCCCTTCCCATGCATCACTACGGTAATCAGCATAACTTGTATTACAGGGCGCTCACCACCATCCTTGAGGAAGACGGTTGGCACGGTGCCAAACTTCTCAAAGTTGGCTCGCTTGTATTCTTCGTCTTCGGCTACGACAACATCTGGCTTGCCGCGCTTGCCCTGGATTGTCACTGGCACTATTTCCTTGGCAAATATACCTTCCTGTAAATAATAAATGTCACAATGTTACAAATTTTTCTCACGGAGACACAGGAAATTCTAGGGGGAGGGGGAAATAGTCACAACTGATTATGCCTGCTGTTAATAGCTGGAGACAATCAAATTGGAGCATCTAAGTGTTTCTGTTCTTAACTTAATTTTAAGCTAACAGTTGTTGGGGGCATAGCGGCATCTAAGCCCATCGCATTGTAATGTTTTTACCGGTATATTACCTTCTTTAGTAGTATGCAAAGTGAAATAATAACAAAAATGAAATAATAACAAAAAGAACTTGAAACAGTATACTGGGAATACATTACCGCTCCTTTTTGCGAAGCAAATTTTATTTGTATTGCTCCCATAACAAAAAATGACTTCGATTAGACTTTCCGAGAGCCAAGTTTCTATAATTCTCAATCGTATGCACTTTGCAGCTTATTTTTTCTTGGATCACCATAGGGTGCTACAGACGTCTCAACGTAGGCTCATAAGGCATTTTTGCAAAGTTCAGAATTTTATTTTTGAGGCTATTGGCAGCGCGCACTGTCAAAAGCAAGAATATTAGAAAATGGTACGTAGTATGAAGCGTTTGATAGAAATAACATGCATTTTATGAATATAGTCGAACCCTTTTATAAGAGACACTGATATAAGAGACAGAAGTATAAAAGACACCAGTGTGATTTCACTAAAATATGAGCAGATAAGAAAATGCATACAAGATACCCTGTTTACAAGGGACATCTCATATAAAAGACAAGAATTGTTGCCCAGAGCATGCTTCTTATAAAAGGGTTTAACTGTATAAAGGCACACACTGGGCAGCAATTCTTGTCTTTTATAAAAGGAGTCTCTTATAAGCAAGGTATCATGTATGCATTTTCCTATCAGTCCCTCTAATAATGTATACACACTGGTGTCCTTTACATCGGTGCCCAGGGTTGCCACTGGTGGCTACCTTTTGCCAAATCTGCAAACTTGAGGGACCCATGGCGATCTAAAATGATTGGCGACATGGCGAATCATTAGCGATTTCTGACTTAGTTTCAACTGAGTTGTGCACTTCATACTCAGTATCTTCAAAACGGATGGGTGACAGTTTTTTTTCTTCTAGTTATTATAGTTTTAGATCCACCAGTAGAAGGTGCAGCTTACACGCAATTGAGTACACCTATCCTTTGCATACGTATTTATTCAATTCACTTACATCCTGGAGACACTGGCCCACTGGTGCGTTGGCCAGCTATTTCCCCACAAAATTTAATCCAGCAGACTGTTTCGCAACCCTCGTCGCTGACTTCAAACAGTGCACAACCCTCGGTGCCATCAACGCATTGGATAGATATGCCGCACTCCCTAAAAGAGCGCACAATCAAAGTTTCCGAGTTGTCGTTCCACGCTGTAGCCCCTCCAGCGACGCTCTACTCAAAAGTCCCGCCCAGCTTGAACGTTTGGCGGCGACTCCGTGGCTAGGACAACGTTCCTTTTATAAACAGTAGTATAAGACCATCGCTTGTCCAGCGCCATTGAGCTACGCCTCACACAGACCACTCAGAGCGAGCCTTGAAATAACAGACAGCTCGCCTCAACACTCTCCACAAGGATGAAAATGGCGACCTTGCGTGTCGAAAAATCGCGGTTTTTGCGAAAATTTTCACTTTTGAGATATTGTTTCTAAAATCACTTTTGATCATTCAACTATCATTTCCCCAAAGGTAATAGCTGAATTCAAACAAGAAAGTGGTAAAAAGTCGATCTGCGCTAGCGAAGGTAGCTCCAGAAGTCTCGAATTCGCGCATTCGACGGCTATTTTTGAAAATCCGCCACTCGGCAACACGATGACGTCCGCCATCGGGGTTTGTTCGGTGACGTAGATCAAGTCTCCTTCTAGTGTACATGCATCTCCCTAGTTTCGTATTTTAGTGAGGAATTTCACAAAACAGTCGTTTGCAAGTCGATTTACAGCCAAGCTGCAGCCGCTTCGAGCATCTCTACTGGTCACATGCTACGCTACCGAGGCCGCCATTGGCTACATCTGATCGGCCTCGCTCGCTGAGCGCTTGCGACGATCAGCACTTGCCGTGCGTTTCCACGTTTTTCTCAGTTCACCATGGATAACTCGAAGAAGTGAGACTTCCGAGCGCGAAAGTTTGCAAGCGAGAACAAGTACCAAGGGCATCGACATAAGCCGAAGCGCAAAGCAGCGGTAGAAGAATGCGAGCCGCGGGCCACTAGGCCTAATCAAGGCAGCGGGGATACGGCAGCTTGCGGGAACTTTGACGAAATCGTCGCCGCGATCAAGTTCATCAGCGCATCGGAAAAAAAAGATTAAACAGTTCGAAAGCGAGAGAACGAAGAGTGTTGGTGGCTCTGTGAGCGGAGTATTTTGTGACATCGGCGCACTGACATAGATGGTAAGCTGTGCTGTTTGTCCAACATGCCACACCGCTGGACTCATCGTTCGCGACACCGGAAGTAAACGTAAGGGCCTCTCTTCGTTCCTCGAGCTGCACTGTGATAACAGTGAGTGTCCTGAGTCAGTGGTTTCAGCCACGCATAGTTCGCGGCGTGTTCTGCCGGAAAGACAGCCCACCGATGCCGGTGATGACTGGAGCTACCGAAGCGGCAGCTCGCGCGACAGCTTCGCTGTCAATGTGAAGGTAGTTGTGGCTGCGCGTGCAATAGGCAACGGGCATGAACAGCTGTCGCGTTTTTGCGCTATTCTTGGACTGCCAATACCTATGCATCATAAGACTTTTATTGCAATCGGCAAAAAAGTTCATGCTGCAGCTACCAAAGCTGTGCAAGAAAACCTGGCAAAAGCGCGGATGATAACTAAAGAGAAAGTGGATGGGGCTGATCTTGCTGTCATGTATGATGGCACATGACAAAAAAGAGAGCACAAGAGCCACAATGGCATCGGCACTGCTGTGTCTGTGGACACTGGTTTGTGCCTAGATTTTGGAGTGCTATCGAATTACTGCCTGTAGCCGGCACCAGGACTTGGGTGATGAAGAAATATGGCAAGCATTCCACACACCTGTCTGCGATTGATTGATTGATATGTGGGGTTTAACGTCCCAAAACCACTATATGATTATGAGAGACGCCGTAGTGGAGGGCTCCGGAAATTTAGACCACCTGGGGTTCTTTAACGTGCGCCCAAATCTGAGCACACGGGCCTACAACATTTCCGCCTCCATCGGAAATGCAGCCGCCGCAGCCGGGATTCGAACCCGCGCCCTGCGGGTCAGCAGCCGAGTACCTTAGCCACTAGACCACCGCGGCGGGGCCACACACCTGTCTGCGAAAAAATACAGTGCTCCTCTCAGGACTTGGGTGATGAAGAAATATGGCAAGCATTCCACACACCTGCCTGCGAAAAAATACAGTGCTCCTCTCATGCCATGGAGACTGAGGCAGCTTTGCGCATATGGGGCAGGACATCCTCATACACAACACCATTGCGCTTCACCAAGTTCCTCAGTGATGGAGACAGCAAAGCTTATACCGCTGTCGCGGAAGCCAAGGTATATGGTGAAGTTGTTGTGGACAAGGAGTGCACAAACCATGTGGCCAAGCGTCTAGGCACTGCACTTCGGAAACTGCCAACACGACTTCCACGAGGGGAAAAGCTGACAGATGGCACAATTCAGAAGCTGCAGAACTATTACCGTATTTCAATCACAAACAACAGAGGTGATATTCTGAAAATGCATCGTGCCATCTGGGCGTCATATTTCCATTCATCATCGAGCAACACAGCAGACAGCCACCGATACTGTCCAAAAGGGGCAACTTCCTGGTGCAAGCATAGACGAGCCGAAGCGCTTGGGGAGGCCCCACCCGACCACACACCAATCTTGACCAAGGCTCAAGGATTGGCTGTGCTTCCCATTTACAAGCGCCTCACAGATGAAAAGTTGCTGGTACGTTGTATCCAAGGGAAGACCCAAAACGCTGCAGAATCTTTGAACAGCAAAATCTGGTTGTTGTGTCTGTTTGCCTCCCGGACAACAGTGTAAACTGCAGCTGCTATGGACGTGCTGTGGTTCAATAAAGGACATTCAAGCTTTGAACACGTGCTAGAGGAGCTTGGTGTAGTCCCACCAGATCAACTGATCACCCTGAGCCAATCCCGCGACCAGAGGAGAATCGAAAGAAAGCATGTGAAACAGCCGAGGCAAGGGCTCATCGGCGGAACGTGGCAAAGAAAGCGCGCCTTGACTCCCTTCTCAAGCGGCGAGAAGGATCCACATATGGAGCAGGACAATTTTAGGTGCTCTAGCTGTGTCCCTTTTATGATATCACCAAGTTTTGTGCAAATCGCACTGTGTAATCATGAGTAAACATATTTACAACTTTCAAATGCATTATTCTCGATTTCCATTTTGAGGTAATTCTCTCATCTTGTGCACAATATTTTTTACGCATAAAATAGGCCTATCTTGATGAAATTTTGCACAGAGCTTAATCAGCCACTCTAGAATACAAGTATCTACTTCAGGTTGCAATATACATCACAGATGTTTTGTTACACAACTTGATACACTGATAGGGAGATGTAAAATATGCATTTAGTACTTTTAATTAAAAAAAAATGTAGCAAATAAATTTCCTACTTGAGGTACTTTTCTGTATTGTACTGCTCAAGTGCAGCAGAATGAGCCATTTTGCAATTCTGTGAGAACATTTTTAGTAAGCTTTATTATGTGCACAAAAAACCCTATATTTTGATATCAAAGTTGTAACTCCGGAACTACTATAGCTATCAAAAAAATAATTGCAGTTATGAAATCAGCAAATAAAAAAAAAAACTTTTTCGAGTAGCATCTCCCCTTAAGCCAGGTGTTCGCTTGGCTACTAAGGACTACAATACAGTCTAGGTGGCACTAGTTGCACACTTTTCTCCACAACAAATGGAGTTTTTCAAAACCCTCAAGCCTAAACCAGTCCTGAAGTTTGATACAAAAAAAAAAAAGGAAAAAAAAACTATCGGCGTAGATTTGAAGCAAGTGTTGAAAAAATGCGCAGAACAGTCTATTCGTAAAGAATTTTCTTACCGTACCTAGTTTCCCTCAGTTTTGTGAAGTTCAAATGGCGTTCAAGTGTGCAATAAAAATTGTTGCCGCTCATATTTTGAGAAGGTACCCTACAGCTAATGCCCATACACAAATTTTTTCAGATATTTTAATAGAACCTGGTTTTTGGCAAGCACATCGATCGGGACAGACATGGAGTCACCTTGAGACAGGATCATGTCGTTCGGATTTAGTAGGACGCAGAGAATAATGTCCCTGGACCTGTGGATTACCGAACTCCTGGTTATATGCCAACGATTTATTACCACTAGGACAGGTGAAAAGCAAGCCCAGTGTACTCAACATCGTGGCTACAGGTACTGAACATTAACAGTTCATTACCTTTGCAGCATCTGCGCTCTTCTTGTAGCTTTCTATGGCAAACTTGTCCTGCTCTTGCCGCGACACCTCATATTTTTTCGCTGTTTGCTCAGCACACGCTCCCTGAAAGACAGATGAGAAAGAATGTTAGTTTGTACCAAGAAAAAGAACAAAGGATTGTACATCCAAAGAAAAAACGCAATCAGATACTATCTAGCGTAGGCAACGCTCACAGAGATCACTGCCCAATTTGTACATCATAGCAAGCAGTCTAAAAAGTTGACTGGTTTCAGATGGAAAGTAAATTGGTACGCACCATGTGAATTTTGTCATATGCGTCCGTCAGGCCATCGAACACTATGCCATCCTGAAATCAAGACAAGATCATTAGATATCCCAACCATTTCTGAGGTTAGCGAATTCAATATGGCTTACAAACTTGAGAACATTCCAATTACAGAACCGAACTTAAAAAAAAAAAAAACAATAGGATAAGTCTTGTGTTGAGTTTTTGTAACGTTTTTGTAACTGCAGCCTGATGCATCTCTACCGACTAGCTCCGATATCTGCAATCCTAACCATTCATAATGCTTCAGCTGCTCAATGTGGAATTGCATTGTGCCAGGAAACGAACAGAGTGATCAACTGACCTTGCCAGTTTTACCACGTTTCTCTGTGCCGAAAAACATCGCACAGACATACTGCCAGCAAAGATCCTGCTACAGCTTCCCAATTTAAACTGCTCATGCTAAAACAAAACTAGATGACACAGGCTGCGCGTTACCCCATCTTCATTCCAATTTGGCGAGTGTAGATATCCCAAAAGAAAGACTGTAGCACAGAATTGGTATGAGGTAGCCCAAATCGCTCTTGGTCGAGCTTGACGGATTGCCCAGTTTCGAAGTGACAACTCACCTGAAGGTGCACACCTCCGTACGGCGTTTCCCCTCTGTGCAAGTAGTAAGGAACGTTGGACATGCTCTCCATGCCGCCGGCGACAATTATCTCCTGAAAAGCCAAAGAAATTGACGGTGAGCATCAAAAGCAGGACACGACCCTTCGCTGCGGTGTTGGAATGCAGATGTATGTCGTTCAGTTTTAGTAGGACGCGGCGAATGCAGTCGCCAGCCCTGTGGATCACTGAACTCCTGTTTATCTGCCAGCGATTTATTACCACCAGGCCAGGTGAAAAGCAAGCCCAGTGTACTCAACATCGTAGCTTCAGTGAAAATCTCCAATGCTAGGTCAGGCCTGGCTGAACGTAACGGAGAGCAACAATTTCCAATTTCAATCAGTCAGCGCAACCCTGTGCATGGGCTTCTGCCTACAACTTGCAAGGTATAGTAATTCAGTTGAAGGAATACGAAACAAAATTTTTGCCTCTAAAATTTTCAATTATTCTGAAAAATTGGGCTCCAAAATCGATACACTACTGTCATTACAGAAAGAAACTACAGAAACTTGACGAATTTAATGTGTTTTTCATAAACGGTCACATCTATAGGCCATGCCCTGAGCTTGAGGAGGTGGAAGGTGACGCAACACAGGCCCGAAATGGGTGAGCCAACCCCCCCCCCCCAATATATCCAGAAACACTACGATTAGCACCAGTAGCGAACCATGCTCCTGGCTGGCATAAAGCATCAACATAATAACAGCTAGTGTGCAGCCATCGTGCGCTGACAATCCATCAAAAATACAACTGTTCAAAAATATGAGAAATTAACTGTTTACCAGAACAGTTGCACATAGGCAGAATTTCGGATTTGATAAAAGTTTTCAGTATCCTTTTATTTAAGCCATATATGCTGAAAGTTGGAAAATTATTAAAACTAATTCATTTCCACAAAATGATTGCTTCTACGATCTCAAAAAAGCAATGAGGCTTTTGTTGGAAAAAAAAAAAAGCTCTTTCGAACAATGGTTTTGGAGCCATCCTATATGTAGCACACCATCGCTTGACACACCGCGAATAAAAAACATTAGCACCTATCACTGTCATACGAAAGTTACTGCATACCCAATAACTGACGACAATCTACCAGACTTTGTATTACTTATATTTTCCCGTGGTATGGCCTTCAGCTACACGCACGCGAAATAGCAATTTTGTGACTGCAAGCACGTGGCTATCTGTACCCCATAGATTACCTAGACTTGCATGTGACGAGGACAGGGCATCACAAAGACACCTTAGGTGGCACTAACTTTTTTTAGAGAAAAAAACAAAAACAAAACGTCAAGTGTCACTGAAAAGTTTCAGCATTCTACATGTACGACACTGGGCATATAAGGGTTAAGATAACGCAAGGTAGTAAGCTTAGCTTACTGCTATGCTGACAGATATGACAGGTTCTCCGAACACCGACATCAGAAGCTCAAATTCCAAATGATCAAAGCTTAAGCAACCTTCCCAAGCTGTTGCCGAACTCCAACATTTTCATACCAAAACTCGCCTTGGTCAAAATTTCTTCTTTAAATCTTGGCACAAACGCCTTGAGTGAATGCATGCAAAACACATCAACATGATTAAATTTTGAGAGTGCTGCTGCATTACTACTTAACAAAATTATTTGACTTTCAGAAGAAACAAGAGCGAGAAATGACAGAACATTTTATTACAAGATTTACGGTTCAAATGTAGAAAACTTCAAGCAACGGTGCATAAAAGCAGGCAGTCATGTCTACAGTGCTTATAAAGCTGTGTGCACGCAGACATACATACAAGGACATTACCTGTGATCCACACATGAGGCTCTGGGCAGCCAGCATTATTGCCTTCATACCAGATGCACAGACTTTGTTAACTGTGGTGCATGGTGTGGACTGTGAGAGACCTGTGAAGAACACAATTGACCGCACAATAAACACAAAAAAGTAGCTCTGCAGCACTTAGAAAGCAAATCCTGCTCACAGCACTAATAAAATTGCTCAGCAGCAGGCATTAATGGCATCCACAAAATGCAAAAGTTGACACCCAAAAAACTGGGCCATTATGTTCAACCTCCTTTACTTTTGCCTGCCATGGCTGTCCGCTGCTGCCAAGTACTAAGATCTTCACTGCCACGCCATGACGAGATGGACATGCAAGTTAACTTCAATTGTTCAATCTAGAATTTCATGTGCCAAAACCGCAACATAATTACAAGGCAGGTTGTAGCGGGGGACAATGGACAAATTTTGAACATCTGACCATCTTAAAAGCACCCAAATAATGTATTTGCTTGCATAATGATCATGCCTATTTTTTTATATAATTTACACATTGCAGTCCCCACAGAAATGAATGCAATTTTATGTCACAATAAACACAGAGGCACTGGAGATTCCACGAGAAAGCCACCAATACAGTGGGTCACTAACAATTAATAAGAAGTCAGTCAATCCAATGTCACAACACGAGAATGCAAACGATTCTGTGCACAACGCTTGACTAATGCCTACAACAACATGGAATCGGTGCAGCGATGCTTCAGCAGAATTTAAAATGTTGTTTGGTCTTAGTAGGTAACAGTAGATAATCATCCCTACTGTTCCTGTGGAAACCAAACTACACCTTAATTTACCAGGGATTAATAACCACCAGGTTGTGAAAAAGCGAAGTCTGGGGTACTCAACACCCTGGGTGAGGTCAAACAAAATGCTCTCAATTGAAGTAATACTTGCCTGCTCCTAAAGCCGCTTGCCTCGCTGGTGCCTGTCCAGCGCCGGCTGATACCACATTGCCCATGAAGACTTCCTGAACATCTTCGCTTTTGATTCCTGCAGAAAGCCAGGAAGAAGTTAAAACAAAAAGAGAAACACCTCATTATGAAAAAGTAAATTCCATTATGGCAAGCTTATGTAAAGAAATCCATGTTTTTTTTTTTTGTTAACTTCAACACAACTCTTTCAGCATACGATGCTTGACCCAAAGAGAAAGGAGCACTTGAGGACAACTTTGTGACAGTATTCACTATGTCGCGACCTCCTAAGAAAGAAATGGTTCCCGCTGCAGCCATACAAGACGCTGGAAATGCGTTCACTCACATGCTCTTTGTCGGTTATGTGAAAAAAGGCAAATGTTCTAATATTATAGTAAGTACATGCTGCACTGTCCTGAATACCTATCAGCATCGATTATGGAGGAGACAATGCCATCAACCTGACAACCTCTGAAGAAAACAACCTTTGCCATCTTTTTTCAAACCTACTCGCAAAATAGATGGCATGTCAGCACCTCGAGGGGAAATGCAGTTCGAAAGAAAAGGTGCATTAATCTGTAGCCTAGAGCAATGAAATTTCTTATTTGTATATAGGCTTTTATGCTGATTTCAAATATGCGATTAGTTTTGTAGTAAGTTGCACAGTTTTCGTTTTATGCTATGAAAATGTGTGAAGTATGGTTCACTTTGGAAAACTTTTTATGCCACTACTTTTTTTTACGCTTCTGGGCCATTAATGGCTCACATCGCTCTAGATTAACTGTAGAATGCAAATATCTATCAAGAAAGTGCATATAAGACATTTTAATGCACAAGAATTGTCATGAGCAAATTCTTAGAATTCTCAGCCCATACTAATTGCTTAATTTAGGTTCGCAATGATCATACAGACTAGTTATAAAGAACACACTTTCGACCTTCATATGTTAAAGAATATGTGGGTGAAATTTCATCCAAATCACACCATCATAATTGTCAAAAACATGATGCCCAAACTCAAAGTTGCCTGCAATAGAACTTGAGAAAAATGCATTTTTTAATTTTTATTGCATCCCGAGAGCTTGGAAATCATGTGGCTTTACTGAACTCATAAGAAATGCAATGACAAGCACCCACATAACCATTCCCAGAGGGCTCTAGACAATGAGATTTTTAGTTTTTAGTAGCCACCTTGTGCTTTTTACAAGTGACTTTAGTTCCTTCAAATTTATTGACAATCTCCATTTTTTTCGCTGTGAAAGTACAGAAATTAAACTTGTAAAAGCAAATAGAAACAAAACATATATAACAAAAAAACTTGCACCCTTCAAGTCATCCCCCTTAAAGAGGTCTTGTGACACTTTTGGGACAGCCTTATTTGGCACCGGAACGGGTGTAGCGATGATTACGGAGATGAATGCAACAAGAATAATGCAAATTGGTGCACGAAAAGTGAAGTTATGAGTCCTCAATGTTCATAACTCGAGCAGACGATGACGAGAAATGTTCTTTTTCATATTTCACTCGCCTGCTGACGTCAAAAGCCGGTTACAATCACAGCGCACGTCTAATAAAGACATTCCAGAAATGTCATCTCATAGTGGCTTTCACACAATACCTCGCTACCTCTCTTTTTGGTGGCGTGCTTAGCATAGTTACTGCGAACCACGTGCGTCGGGTAGCAGACGCTCCCACGGTCGCCCTGTGTGAGATACACACGAACACTTATGGCGGGGTCACTTTTCTGCTTGCATGCATGACTCCACCTGTTGCTTTTTTGGCTCGCTAAAAACGCAGCACGCGTTGCCACATTTAGTTGCCGGCATACCATAGCCCCGTTCACAGGCTGTATTGTGTTCATTTTTCTGAAAATACATCATTTCGAAACAGGAATCAATCCTTTCTCAAAAAGTGTAAAAGAAAGGCTTTTGCTCTTTTTAGCTCTCACTTGTATGGCCTCGCTACCACCACATGAATATTGCATACTATTTCTTGCGTCAAGCCAATCAAAAAGTGAACGGTGCTTGTCTTCACGTCACATGACACGACGTCACTTCCCACAGCAAAAATAGTCCATGTGTGTCCCCGTAGGCTGAAATCAAGCTAGCTTGTGCCATTAATTAAAAGTGTAACAGCGCCGATTTTGGCATTGCCATGTGGCAAACGATATCGGCGCATTCCACAGCACCAGCAAAACCCACGAAAAATACGTGTTCAAATTGTGTCACAGGGCCCCTTTAGAGGGACAGACAACAGACAACAAGAAATAAGATGACTGTACAGATGGAAAGATTGTCCCTCAAAGTGGCTCAAAGCACCCTTGTTTTTGCTCGTGAGTGATAGTTATATTTTCATTTTTTCATTGAAAATCGCGAAAATAGCCCGTGGCACCACCGGGTGGCAGAAACTTCAATATTCCGATGTGCCCTGTCATGTGATTGTCAACTAGTGGAGGTAGCGATCAATTTTTCTATTAGTATTAAGATATTGTTTGGTTCTTAATAGTAAAATATATTACTCCACAAAAATGTACATATAGGCCTGGGCTAGTATTACGCATTGAAGTTGCACTGCCTTCACATGACATAATGATTCCATGCTCATCAGCGTGTCTTGAGCAACTTTTCCACGTGTTCATGAAACCGTGCGCGCAGTTTCCGTGTCATGAAGGTTTTCGAGCACCAACCTTGGGCGCAGGCGCACGCAACGCGGGACAACTACAGATAAGCTGTATAAAGCCACCTTGTCTCATTGCAACAGCTTGTTATTTTCAAAATTAGCTGTAAAGCTCGGCATAAACTAGGTTAAGCAGTCACAAGAACTCCTGCGAAAGCAGAACGACAGCATGCACAAGTCGCCATAAAGGCTACCGGCATTGCTATCGATTCTCAGCATTGCTGAATGAAAGGGCTCATTTGTGTTCAGAGCCTTTCAGATAAAAAATGACTGTGCTTTTGGGATTAACTACTGCAGCTACGAACCCTACAGAGGGTAGGCTTTCTGTCACGTCAGAAAAAAAGTGGGTAAAAAAAAATTGGTTGTCGGTCCCTTTAAAAGATGCAGTGTCTCTAGAAGCTGGCACAGCAGAACTGCTATGCTTGCTCAGGCCTTATAATCAAAAAATATTTTACGGGAATGAGAGCTTTAGGTTGATAATGAGTGCTTCTTCTCTCGACTAACTTGACTATGAAGCTGAAAGGACCTCAGTGCCCAAATTTTTTACAAGGATTTTTTTTTTCAAAGCTCTTGCCCTTAGCGTTAACTGCACTTTCTTGCACATAACTCACAAAAAATATAAAAAGTGAGAGCAACAGTATTGATGACATTTAATGAATTTCTAGGGTGGCTTCAAGGCAACGGAATGAATTGGATCGATCTTCACTGTTGTGTGGGCAATAAGCACAGACCCCTTTTTGAAACTAGTCTGCTGGCTGCACACAATAAAATGCCTTATGTGCTTATAAAAAAAGCACACTAACATGACGAGGTATGCCAGATCAGATACTATCTAGCAAAGGCATAGCGCACACAACAGTGTTCACAGCCTCCCAAGTATGCATCACTTCTGGCAACCTAACTACACTTTATCAGTTTACATGTGCTTCACATCTTGTAGCCTGCTGCCGCAATTTCGCGACACACTGAATTTAAGCTCATCGATTTGTGAGACACTCTAAACAAAAATCTCAATTTCTATGCCATACGAGGCTCTTTGGCATTAAAGAGGCCCTCAAACACTTTTTTGAGTAAACATGGAATTGGTTCACTGGAAAAGCATATTACCTCACAAATTTAATGCCACAAAAATTCAAAGAATCCGTCCAGTACGAGTGGAGTTACAAAGATTTGTCACACGCTGCATTCACATTCTACATTCTCCCTTCTCTCGTCCTGACAAATGCGCTGGAACCTGAGCAGGGAGGGATGGAAGGGGCAAGCAACGTCACTTGTGCTTGGTGACCTTGAGCATATTTTTTTTCTTTTTCCCCCCTTCGAATACGCGGCTTTTTTCAGCGTGATCGCGTGCACAAGTAATGGCCTCTTGCAGCGACCTCCCGTAACAACCGAGCGCGCGCCATGTTCAAATCAGCCAATGGCTGATAAATGGCCTTACTGGGCTTATTTCCCCCGATTTGTTGAGAAGAGAAAGCTACTTTTAGCTGACTGATAATTTATGGTAAATTCCAGGCCATGTGCTGCGCTATAATAGTTGGTTCGCGTGTTGTCGGGAGCCTCTACTACCGATCGGCAATGTTTTCTGACCAGTGAGTGAGTGAACAACCGATTCACTTCCTGCAGGTTACCGGGCTGGGTTCCCACCTAGGAGCTTGTTGAGAGACCATGTCTCTCAGCAGCTTTTGGCCTGCTGGATCGCCCAGATTCTGACCATGCTAAAAAAGTTTTGCAGGGCCCCTTTAAGCAGACATGTGTAGTAAACAAAATTTAACCTTGAAAGTTGAAAAATGTACCGCATGCGTTTCACTGTGGTTATGTGCTTTGAAAAACTTGGATTTGTCGATTCAGTTGCACAAACTGAAAATACGAGCACTGCTGTATTGAATGTTTTATATCGGTAATCAGTTCACTTTTCACATCTACCTTTGCAGACTGGAAACAAATTTTTCAAAGAAGTTTTATTAGTTAGTATTTCCTTAAAATTTAGCCTACAATACTAGAATGGTGCAAGGGTAATACAGTTGAACCTACTTATAAGAGCTACACAATGAGGAGTTCTTGCCTGCGGTGTCTACTTGTAAGCGTAGTATCAGGTTTCAATTTTCTGATCAACCCCTATTTCAATACCGGCACACTGGTCTTTCTTGTACACAATAGTATGTTACATTGGTTTTCTCGTGAAGGTTTTAATTGCATTTGACATTTTTAATTCACATATATGCATTCCACAGTGTAATGTGAACATGTTTCTTGAGTGGCTCCAATATACAAAGTGGCTATACAATCCTGCCATCACTAGGTTGAATAAAGGTGCTTTGTAAGGAAGTGCACTGAAGTTTTATTAATCTACAGGTACTTCACATTCCACCCAAATTAAGATGCCACCATATTATTGAATTATTCAGTAAGAAGCCTCCAGTTAGAAATAACACTATTATGGCAGAGCCAGGTGCCAAGTTGCTTTAACACACTGCAGTAAGTAGTAGTGAACAAAATGACTTTTTTTCCTCTTGAAACATATACACCTAGCGTTGAATGAGCACTTGAGGGTTAACGATCACTGCTTGAACTAAAAGGATATTCAAGAACTACCTTCTTAATCTTTGCAAGTTAGCCGATTAGATAAATAATAATAATAAAAACTTGCAAGCCAGCAAGAACACTGTTCCTGTACCAACGATTAATGTGATATGACAGATGCCATGATGCCTGGTACTCAAATCCCTGTGGCTCTTCTAAAACATTCCAAGCTGCTGAGCTCTGCTTACAGGGCCTTTAAAAGGCAATGTGAGAAATTGATATGTGGAGTTTTACCGTGCCAAAACCACCATATGATTATGAGAGACGCCGTAGTGGAGGGCTCCGAAATTTCAACCACCTGGGGTGCTATAATGTGCACCCAAATCTGAGCACACGGGCCTACAACATTTCCGCCCCCATCGGAAATGCAGCTGCCGCAGCCGGAATTTGATCCCGCGACCTGCGGGTCAGCAGCTGAGTACCTTAGCCACTAGAACACCGCGGCGGGGCGCAATGTGAGAAGTTAGTACTGACAATCACTTATTTAGGCCAAAAGAGACTGCCAAAATGCATGAAATGTCAAAGCTCCAAGTGTTGCCACTGCTTTATCCTTGCCCATTGTTCTGGCTTTACCAAAACTCCTTCTTTAGAGGCGGCCCTAGAGGTAGTGCACCAGAAAGATTGTTCTCAAATACAGCAGACTTCATTGTTTTTAGACATTATCATATCAGCATGCAAGAGTTTTTTAGTCAATATCAGCCTACAGAATGTACAGTTCTGTCATTAGTGAAGCAATTGCCACTGTTAAGTTCGTAGACTGTGCGCATTGCTTTTGCCAATTTCCTTACATGTAACTTCATCTACCACGCCTATGTTTGCAAACAATGCCTGTTGTAAGGTAAAGCTTGACAGTTATTGCGCCTTCTGGTGCATTATCAAATTCCCAATCAATGTGTTAAGTTTTCCTGTCATGCATTCAAAAATATGTAAGCTGCAGTGACAACAGGCAAAAGTCCATGGTGCATATAATCTGTAGGGAACAGAAGTATTCGGGGCTGTTAGGATGGGACAACCCCTTGGATTTTTTTGAGCAATTTATCATACTTTCATAGCTTTCCCTTGTATTTCCTGCTCGAATTTTCGCGGCTGCGTTTTCAATGGAGGTGAGAATTCCGTAGGCCCGTGTGCTCAGATTTGAATGCACGTTAAAGAACCCCAGGTGGTCAAAATTTCCGGAGCACTCTACTACGGTGTCTCTCATAATTATATGGTAATGTTGAGACATTTACACCCCACATAGCAATCAATCAAATCAATGAATCGAATTGTCACATTTTTGCAATTCATATCCAGCTTCATTAAGACTGATGGTTCTCAAAACATCTCTGAATGTTGAATGAATAATGGGGATTTTGTGTGCTGCTGTTACAAGACTAGAAGACCCAGAAACTTCAAATTTGAATGTCCGCTAGTCACTAGTAAAACACAAGATGCAGTGCAAATCAGCGCTACCATACTGCACATAAAATCACTTGAATCCAATGAGTCTCACCTGCTCTCTCAACTGCCCCTTTGATCGCAATGGAACCGAGTTTTGTTGCCGGCACAGAGACAAAAGCACTTCGGAATGAACCAATTGGAGTCCTAGCAAAGGAGGCTATCACAACTTCCTGCAGTCAAAGGAAACAATCTTTTTTCCAGTCCATCTATGCTGTACCCTTGTAACACATTATCAGGGGAAAAAATGATTACCCTGTAATCTTGTAAGATTAACTGTGTTGATATGCAAGAGGGCACACAAGGAAACAAGAATATGGTGCCACATGTTATCAACTTGGCTGTCCAATGGAAAATTGGGCATAAAAATCCTGTCCTGTGCAAGCTAAAGCTGACAAGATGAGATCGAGGTTAAACTACAACTCTTATCCTATTTCACAGAGGACACTTTTCATTGCATTGTAAGCAGGTCTAAACACATCAATGAGCGCACGACTTGCACACAATCCACTTGAACAAAATGAAGGCAACAAACAGTGGTTCGTTAAACTCTTAACACATGTAAGAATGAGATGCCTGGGGTTGCCTCAACATAATTACAGCTTATCTAAACCTTTATCATTAAAACATCAAGGCCTTTATGAATTACAAAAATTTGTACATGCAGTATGACATACATATGCGCGATCTCTCAAAGGAGGACTACAATACTTACATTTAACGAATGGGTAGTGCCGTTGCTGTACATCCTATGTAACAGAGCAGTGGCAACCTGAAAATGAAAAAGAAATGTAAAGATATTCATTCGTGATGAATGGTGCATATTGTTTCAACACTCCCTTTACAGCGATTATTATATATGCAGCAAATTTCGATTGCCAACTGCGACTAGGGCAAGCCCACACTTTGTTAAAGCAGGGTGTCCAGTACTGAAATATTTTCCACTACGATAGTGCAGAATTTCTTGTACATGTTGTAGAGTTAGAAATGTTTTGAATGCATTCCTCACGTTCATTGAATCGAGTTTAAGGCGCACTGAATCAAAAAAAAAAAAAGAAAAACCGTTGCGGGAATGGTGATATTCGGCGTTAAAGGGGGTATTTAAGACCCCACTACTTTAAATCATGTCGTTCGGCTTTGGTAGGCTCCAGTAACTGAATGATCACTGGGGCCTTTGGATAACCGAACACCCTTGATTTGCCAGAGGTTAACGGACACTGAAGCGCGTATGTAAAGGCTTAGTGTCAGAATAAAACACCCTGGCTGAGGCAACCTCCCAGCAACACGGGCTTTCTTCACCAGAAGGATATCTTAAAAGCTATTCAAAATGGGCGACGAAACACATTCTACGAAACGGCGTTCGATGCAATCGAGCGCACAACCAATAATCTAAGGAGCGGCGCGAAACGCTAACACGTGGCAACACAACAGACACGAACTTTTGCCAAAATATTCCACCCAGAAACAACTTTAGACCGGCTTACGTGAACACACCGAGTAAACGCACGAACACACAAGACCCTACGATCCCCAAACGAGCAGAGCAACGACTGGGGCAAGATTTTTCAGACAAAGCGCCGGTCAACTCACCACGTGGTTGGCCCGGTGGTCCTTCAGCGAAATTTGTCGGCAATGACGAAGCAACGCGCTGCACGCAGAGACAACGACGCACTGCGCCTCCCTTCGAGCACGACTTATCAAGCTGCATTTCCCAATGATTCATCGCGCTCATAATATAAGGTTAAAGAGCAATCGCCCGCAAGCTGTCCCCTCCACGCTGAGCGATGTGGCGATTGCCCGCGCGACAGATAGCAGCAGACTTACAACGGCTTCTGCTCCGTCTTTCTCAGTGGCTATGGATTCACTCTCGCCACTCAAGGATGTCAGACGGCAATTCCGTTGCTGCTAAAATTGGCCGTACGTACGGATCAAACGTGCATACGACGGTACAGCGCGCCCTGCTTTATTGAATGAAGCAGAAAGTATATAAACCATTGATCAGTTAGGGGCAGTTAATACGTCTGACAGCGAAAACAACGTCAAGAAAAATATATGCAGACGAGTTCAACAATTAATATAAATGTGTGGGAAATGGTCGCAAATTACAGATGCTTCATCGCTGAGCTCGCCAAAGGATTTTCCGTCATTTATTTAAACAAGGCGCATAATATACGAGTATAATTTGCGTGAGCATTGTCCATGCCACCTCGTCGACACAGCATGACATTATGAATCAGCAAAATCAATTATGAAGATGGCACGAAAGTTGTTAAAAAGGCAGGATGTATTAATGCTACCACCGATTTAATTGCTAAGAATTTGGCACCATCGCCTTTCTTTTTCTTTTCTTGCAATCGATTTTCATCTGTCTTTGCTGACTCACAAGCCGAGCCTGTGCTTTCAAATTTTTGTTAGACTACATCCACTTCCTACGTAACTGCTGCTGCACAAACTAGTTTCCCAATATCTCCACAGCCTCTCCACAAATCTAAAAAATGAGTATGACTGGCATCTGAACGACTCACTTGCAAGAGCTACTGTTCTTGTTTCAAACTGCTTTGTGGTTTGCCATTTTGCTCAAAGTCATCAGTGTCACAGCCATTTCCTTGTGAGGCAGCAATAACTTCTGTGTAAGCTTAGACGGAGGGTGTTCATTTTAAAGCAATGTGCAACTACAAACGAAGAACATGCTTATCATATAATGCCACTGCCAAGAATCAAAATTTTCTGGAATGTTATCATTCTGAGGATCTTATTCTTGCTGCCATTATGTTTCTGGAATAGAAATATTTATGAAATAAGGAAATGGTTGCAAATACTACAACAGCTTAGGACTACATTTGAAACGTACACTGGCTTCTCAGAAGCCATATTTTTAGTTATGAAATATGAATTTTGGTTTGAAAAGCCCAAGCCTAGATGCTTCTATGTGCTGGTCACTCTACCACCGCATCTGACTGGGAGGCTAACAGGTTGGAAAGCGAGGCCCAAATAATTGGCAATTTGCAGCACAGGGCACAAATTTAAGTTTGTAAAGGGGAGCCTTGCGAACAGTACTGTTGACAAACCTTCAAAAAAAGATTGTAAGCCTATGCGGCTTATTTTGAATAACTTTTAAGACAAGCTCCAATGCCTACTCATTGTTGCTCTGAGGGGGGCCATCTGTAAGCAACCTTGAAGTCTTTAGGCAGTATGATGTCCTGGGGTTCAAGCAAAACTAACTGTGCAGTTTTCCTAAGTCACAGCAGTACACACATTTTTTACATCTAAACACAAATGTACAACCGCTTTTCATGAAGATCACGATTGCACATTTTTTTAATACTACCAGACTACTTTCAATTTTCATCGAATAATGAATTCAAATGCTTGATTTCTAACTTTCCTCATACATATTTCAATGAAGACAGTAGCTAACTTACAATAATTACCTTAAGATGTTTCCTAGACAAAAAGTTGAGCGAGTATATGCCTGCTTACAATGTGGACAGTCAGCATTTGGCCAAGCTTTAAAACATACATCCTTTACAGCTTGCAGCACAAGGAAAGAACATGCACATAAATACAAGAAAATGGGACAGAGCAGGCAAGCTCAAACAACGCAGATTTGTTGAAAGAGGAATGCGAAAGAAAGTTTGGAAGCAGTGATAGAAACATCTTGCATAGGGGAGCGTAGATGGGGGTCAGGAACGAAAAACACACGACAGAAAAACCAAGTTTTTTCTGCAGTGTGTTCTTTATTCATAACCACACTCCCCTACGCAACATGTCGAACCAACTAACCATCTTGAATAGGAACATCGACGGAGTCCAACATACAACTGTGTTTAGCATATGGGACAAATTAATATGAACTTATTGCAAGGAGGGAAAGATGGGAAACGAAAGGTAGGGAGAAATAAGTACTTAAATGAAGGATGGCATTGAAAAATGATATTCTTCAACAGGGAGTTTGAGAAGCATTAACATGCTGCCTAAAAATGAAGGGGCGTTACATGATTGACTGTGAGGAGAAGAAAGTGGTTATAGCAGGAAAAATGTGAAGGCTATCTGGTGTCGCACTGAAGAGAGCACGGCTACAAGCCATGAAAAGAAAAGCAATAAAACAAAAGAAGAGAGAAGAAACGGAAGCAATAAATTGATACAAGTAAAGAATGAAGTTTTTTCAGAGCAACAATTAATTCACAAGCTAAGGAGGGGGTGGCATGTAATCAGAATTACAGCTTAGTTCCTGCTCTCACCTTATCTAAATCTCTCCTGCTTTTTTTTCTTCTGTCAACTGCTGTTCAACAGGTTGCGCTGCTTCTATATTATGATATGCATCAACACTGTATTGTTTTACTACTACAGCAATAACTATGTCCCTTTGGCTCACTATAACGTGCAGAGCATGCTCAAGCGAGTTGACAGAATCTGTTATCTCCTTCGGCACATGCGAAACTGCCAGGCTTACATCATTCAACAAGAAAGCATGTCGTACGCGGAGAAATCAATGCTTTCTAAAAGCATAATAATCAGTAGCGACTTAACCAAGGATGCTTAATTTTCAGCTTTTCCCCAAGATTTATCTTTTATGCGTAAATTTGGTCTCATTTATGATAATCACCCACCTGATGTATATACTATTACGTATATGATTCCATTCGCTCTCTAAACCGTAAGATAAATTGTGTGAAATAATACCATTAGCATGTGATCAAACACACAGGTACCCTCCCTTCTTTTTTTGTAGTTGTTATAGTAAGCATATGATGAACTATACTGACCGTTCCCTCTCGTTTATTTCTGCATTTTGTAGTTTTACCAGCCTGCAACTTCACTTGAATCATTTGACACAAATCAGACCTGAAGCTCTAATGTGGGTTACTGCCAATAACAATTTTAAATACAATTGTGTTTATGGTCATTTTGTAAAACGAGAAGCTTGTAAATTTACACAGTACACACAAAGCCACTGCCAGCTTTTTCGCCACAGACTGCTCTGTTCATATTAAGTGCACACACACATGCACACACACAAAAACTCACTTATGGTGCCAGTAGAGAGAATAGTAATGAAGTTTACTTAGTTACGTCAATGCCATAAAAAAAAATATGGCTACTAAGTTGTGCGAAATGCTATCAAGCCCAAATTGTTACACGTAAAACTTGCGCTGAGCATTTCGAGTCAAGCACTGCAACCGATAGTGACATTTCTTTAGTAATTCCTCAAAAACGTTCCTCAAGTCGCGTAGGCATCCCCGACAATGCATTCAAACCAGTTATGTTACCCTATGTAAAGTAGCATGTACGGTAGAGACGAAGTTAACTAGGTCGCAGAACTCGTGTCAACGCCCCTCTACTGACAAGCCCTCTACGCAACGGATAGCGCAACTCGTACATATTTTTTTCGCTCTCGCAACATCGTTAGACATTCCGAGAACCGGGATTACCGCGGAATAACCATTAAATACTGTCTCAAGGTTGCGGGTATTCCGAAAGGAGAAACGCGGAGTGGGCCGTTCTAATTATGCCAGTGACCCCCGATCTCGGTACGACGCGACGGCCAGTGAACTTGACATTGAAATCGCGAGACGAGGCTCTTTGCTTCATTTGTTCCTTTAAATCTCTCTCTGCGATACGGTACCGACATACCTTGTAGAAGCGGGTAGCGGTTTTCTATGTTCGGTGTGCTGCAAGATGGGACGTCCGTTCGAGTGATGTCGCGTGCGGGACGGAGCGCCGAGAGCAAAATAACCAAAGAACCAGGAAGAGCTCAACTGTGAGTCTATCTCTTTTCGTTTGTGTTGTCTGGAAGAGGAAGATACACAAAACACGAAACCGGTTTCCTCGAGAGCGGCCGACGAAGCAAGCACATGCTCTCCGCCAGCGCACCGGCGATGTTTGTCGTAGACGACGTTAACGCTGAGCTATGCATATGCTGATGGACGATTTGGCGTTGACGAATGATCCCCGAGCGCATGCCGAGAAAAGAAAGAAACGAAATGCACTGCGGCGGAGAAGAAATGTGCTGAACGTATGCCGGCATGTGATGAGCATGTTTCGAGAATAAGAAAAAAAAAGCAGCACAGATATCGTTTTGAAGCTAGGCGAGAAAACCTGACGTGATAGCGGTAGAGTGCTCACCTTTCTGCTACACCTCCCCGTCACGAACAGTGCCATAATGCATTCAAAAATAAATACGAAATCACGCCACTATAACATACGAATACTCGCCACACATACGATGGCACGATCGTACCGTTTGTGGGCTAGGCCTAGCCCACTGAGTAGTACGAATGTGTGTGATGGCGCCAGCAGTCAGTCAAATGATTGAATTGTGGTAATTTTATAACATTGTGAGAACTGCAGAAAGGGCTTAGTAAAGTTGTAGTGTAAATATGTGAATTATATAAATAACTTTAAATTTGCGTGGCAGTACATTTTTTAAACTTTTTGAAGGATTTTTGGTTTTCTTTCTATTGAAGATGCTTTTAGTGCGTGGGGGGGGGGGGGGGGGGGGGTGAGGCGTTCAATTACACTGGAGGCTGGTTAAATCCACAACATTATCGAGGTCTTATCATTTTCGTTCGTGAGCGTGTCTACGTGCTCATGCAAAATTAGAAAATTTCGCAAACAGATGGGTTCGAACGCCCCTTCTTCCCGACACGCCAGATTGCGGATAGAAGGGGGAAAAAAAAAAGCTCACTGGTGAACCTGCGTGAACGAAAATGTTAGCGCTGCCTCTTTTTATGTTGTGGGTGCGGAAATATTTGTGCAGAAAGCAGGGTACCCTAGTAT